GGCTCCCTGGTAGAGATGTCTCCTGAACTAGGCCCTGAAAGATGAGCTAGAATTAGCCAGGGAAGGAAAAGTTCTAGAAGTGGTAAAGACATTTAGGCAAATAAAAGCTATACAACCAAGCTTAATTTTTAGTTCTAGGCTTCCTGGCAGTCAAGGCAAAAAGGGAAAACACCATGTGCTACTTAATTCTGCCTTTTTGAGCAAAGGGACATGCCTTTGCAGGAACTAACAACAAAACTCTAGAACTGTGATTCTCAAGTTTTATTGTGTATACAAATTCCCTCAAACATCATGAAAAATGCAGAGTTCTGGTTCCCAACTCCAGAGATTCTGACTCCATAGTTCAGGGGTAGGCTCCAGGATTCTGCCTGTGAGCAAGCTCCCCCAAATAGTTCTGACGTAGTGGTCCCTTCCAGCCCACTTTAAACACTACTGCTGTGAAAGGAACCTCATACTCATTCCCTTGTTCGCTGTCCTAAATACTGGGGATACGCTGAAGACCAAGACAGGGAAGCCTCCTGCCCTCAGGGCAATGGGAGAAAGACCACGGATTCAGCGAGCCAGTGGGCCCATGTTCTGCCTCTTCTCAGGTGCTGCCAACGGGTCCTCTAGACCTGCGCTCCCCATCCCCTGAGCCCTGAGGAAGGCGCTACACAGCAGGAGGTGAGCGGCAGGGGACATCAGGCCCTGGTAGGAGCCGGACCCCACTGCAAACTGCGCTGCACACAGGAGGGATTCAGGTTTCGCTCTCCACATGAGAATCCAAAACCCTCCCCCGCCCCATCCATGGAAAAACTGTCTTCCAGGAAACTGGTCTTTGGTGTCAAAAAGATTGGGGACATCTGCTCTAGATCCGAGCTCTGCACTTTGTCCCATGTGCCAACTGCCACTTTAGCTCCTGATCATAATCCTTTTCAGTTTCATTTTGTGGTGTCCAGGCCATCTGCCCAGGCCCTGGAGGACCCTATCATCAAGAAGGTACAGCTGAGGTTTATGGTAGAAACCCCTCAGATTCTCCAAACCCTGCAGTGGCTTCTCTGAGTGGGCAGCCAAAGTGCGTGTGACCAGAGTTGGCGACCAGGATGCAGGGACAGAGACCACACGGGTGCAGTGGGCTGGTCAGGATGGACCTGGCTGTGCAGGCTCCAGCTGCTACAGCTTCAGAGGCAGGGGAATTGCCACCAGCCTGTCTCCTGGCAGTGGCCTCCCTGCACACCCTGGGGTTCAGTCCCACCCTTCCACCCCCACCCTGCCCTGCACGGTTTCCTCTCTGGGTCATTCCTTCAGAACTGGGGACCTCAATCTGCCCCCTCCCTACAGCTTCCCCACTGCCTTCAGAGTGATCTTCGGGCCCCACCTGATATTACTATTGCCCTGCCTGAGGGCCGGCCCTTGCTAACCAAACGCCACGCACCAGCAACCACCACCAGTTGGCAATTACACAGAAAAAGAAGACCTAGAAAGTTTGCGTGCCAGGGTGGGTGTTTATGTTTGTGAGCGTGTATGCACGTTTATGCGTCTGTGAGTGCGCAGGTAGGTGTGTGTTGGGAGACTGAACGTACAAAGGGACAATGGCCAGATCACATATAAAAACAGAACTTTGGGCCGGGCGCTGTGGCTCACGCCTGTAATCCTAGCTCTCTGGGAGGCCGAGGCGGGCGGATTGCTCAAGGTCAGGAGTTCAAAACCAGCCTGAGCAAGAGCGAGACCCCGTCTCTACTATAAATAGAAAGAAATTAATTGGCCAACTGATATATATATAAAAAATTAGCCGGGCATGGTGGCGCATGCCTGTAGTCCCAGCTACTCGGGAGGCTGAGGCAGAAGGATCGCTCGAGCCCAGGAGTTTGAGGTTGCTGTGAGCTAGGCTGACGCCACGGCACTCACTCTAGCCTGGACAACAAAGCGAGACTCTGTCTCAAAAAAAAAAAAACAAAAAAAACCAGAACTTTGACCCACAATTTGCAGCAACCAGCCTGGTAAAACAACCCACCGTCTACAGTAGTTAGTCTGGGAAGCCAGCCCGCCATGAATCAGACGTGCAGGAAGTCAGGTCACTGTCTGACAGCTTCCCTAATGTTCATCCCTGCTTCCAACTCAGGAGGAGCCACATGTGCACCCCTCACAGGCACCAGAACCGATACCTAGAACTTGCTGTGAGTTCTCCAGACAACAGCCTCCCTTTCCCACTATAAAGCTTTCCCTCTGCTCTGCCTGCCGGGGGGTCTCTGCCCAAACACAATGATGGCGGCTGCTTCCCTTGCTATTAAATAGCCACTGCTTGTCCTCACTTGGTTGGTCTTCATTCATTCCCACAGGGAGCATGGGTGATTGTGTGGCAGGGAGCTGTGTGTGTGTGTGTGTGTGTGAATGGGTGTGTGTGCACGTCTGTGTGAGTTGGGAATGCTCAAAGGGGAACGTAGAGAAGGGGAGTCTACACTCATTGTAAGATCCTATCACCTGTCTGGGTTTTTTTCCCTGGGAGTCCCTCCTCTTTTGTGGCCCATGGAGTTGGGGAAGGGGAGGGACACAGGGAGGAGGGATTAGATGAGAGTCACTTCTGTGACACAGACAGTCGATTGTAAAAGTCAGACTCCTTTGTGCAAAGTATTAGAGTCCCTGGAGGCAGCAACTGAGTCTCCTCCTGCCCTCCTGACCATGCTGAGGGCTCAGGCCATTTCCTAGGCCCCATACTTCTTTCCTGCTTTCAGAAAGCCAATGGAAGACACCAAAGTGACTGTCACCCCTGCCTGTGTGCCTTCCATTCACTGGAAGTCTCCTCATGCCCCACGGCTGTGACTCAAGCCCTGACTTCCTACCACCAGTGCATCAGGATTTAATCTGAGGCTGGGGGGCCACTTGCCAAAATTAGTGGTTGGTAGAATTAAAACAAACACAGGTAAATAGCCCTTTGCCCACCACACAGTCTCACTGAGGTACTACCATTTTCTGATGGATGATGGTAATTTTCTTCCCCCTGAGATCAGCTTAATCATGCTAAGGGTCTTTGAGAGCGCAGGGGTCAAAAGAAAATTACACGGTTTGCAGGATTTCTCTGCAGCCCAGTTCATTCTGCACACCATTCTAACTGATTTAGTGTCGCACTGCTCAGAGGCAACGCAGGGCACACTTGTTGAGACTGTGTGGAGCTGTTTGGCCAGGCCACGGGGCTCAACAGAGGTCTACAGAATACGACAGTCTGCGGTCCATCCTCAGATACCTGATTCTGCAAAAGCTTCCACAGCGAGCTGCAGTTGCAAAATGGAAGAAACTAAGGCTGACAACCTTGCCTCAAGCCTGGGATCCAGCAAGGGTTTTAATAGGGTATAAATGGCAAAAGGAAGAGAACTCCCAAGCCCTGGGCCTTCTCTCCGGCATGTGTGGGTCACAGCTGGAGAAATGTGTGCTTGTATGGGAGTAATTGCCGCCCCAACTCAGCGCTGGAGGATCTTGGAGCCAGTGGTCTATTCACATGCTCAGCAAGAGTTTAATTAATAGTTCTTTCTCTGTTGTTTTCAAGTCAATCATCCAGTTTTGAGCACATCTATTTTCTCCCGCTGTTTGTTCTGCATTGTCACCGAAGGTGCAGAAAGCATATTTTACCAAGAGCTGACTTAATAAGGCAGTTTAAACCATTAAAATGCATCCTGCCAATACATTAACACACTGATCGTTACATGAATCACCAACCTATTTCTTGTAGATAAGAACTGAGATAAACAGTGGCTAATGACACTGAAAAGCAGCAATGCATTAAAGTAAAAATTAACAGCTGTGTCAGGGGCTGAGAAATTCGTCACCTTGTGTGTTTACACCAACCAGATCACTGAAGATGAAGCAACTGGAAAGGGTGACTCAGAAGGCGCTGTGCAGGGGAGGGTTGGGAGATGAGAAGTGCCCTCTCTCCATCTGCCTGTCTCTCTCCTCACCACAGCGGATGCCATTACGAAACTGCGTTCTGTGGTGCTGAGGCCCTAACCCTAAACCAAGGGAAGGACTTCAAATAGAACACCTAACCCTCTGTCATCTGCCCTGTATACTAACACCTCCTTCCTGCTTTGTTTCAACTGGATTTCCACTTTCATTCTATTTCAATTCAGTCCTATTTTGTTCCTTGTTAACAGTGGCTGAGAAATGTATTGTCAGGCAAGAAGGAAGAAAGGGGGATGCAGATTCCCCACCCCCAGAGCACATTCTCTTTTGGAAATGGACCCTTGGAAACAGTTCTCTCTGGGGGAGCACAGCACAGCCTTCTGGTGGCATGGGCATAGCACTGCCCTTGAGCTGGGGCGGGCCTCGGTGGGAGGGGGCATGCAAGGGCCGAGGGAGGAGGACACGTTTGGCCCGGGAGAAGTGATCAGGCAGTTTTCTGATGGTGCAGTGGTCCCTGCTGTCTGGGCCTGCTGTCTGGGCCTGCTCTCTCCAACACTGCAGCCGCTAGCCACGTGGAGTTATTAAAATTGCATAAAAATTAAAGATACTTAAAAATGCCATTCGCACTAGCCTCATCTCCTTTCAAGTGCTCAGTAGCCAGCGTGGCTGATGCCTACTGTACTGGACAGCAGGAATCGAGAACAGGTCCATCAGTGCAGAAAGTTCTGCCCTGGGCTCTAGGCAGCCCCAAGAGTCTCACCTGGGGGCATGAGCGAAATCACAGAGCGAGAACGTGTGTGGTCCAGGAGGCCCCCTAGTCCCCGACCCCGCATGACCTCTGAGCGAAGGACACTGTTGCCACAGGGACAGTTTCAAAAGACCGAGGCCGGACCCGGAGGTCTGGAGAGGCGTGCTAGCTGAATCAGTGCGAGAGGAGCAACTTCTCTGTTGCAATCCTCGCCGGTCCGACAGGCTCCTGCAGAATTACATCACTTCCTAAAAAACAGGCAAACACCTCTCCTTCAAGTTAGCACCGACCCAAACAAGCAGGAAACAGGAAATGTTCACGTTTCGGGGCGGCTGCGGCGCGGCGGCCAGGCACCCCGCGCGCCCCGCGCGCCCCGCGAGCTGACATGCCGGCCGCCCGCGCCGCCCGCCTCTGCGCCCTGCTGCCCGCGCTCGCGCTCCTCGGCCGGGGTAAGCCGCGCCTGCTCCGCGCTCCGGGAAGGCCGTCCCGAGGCCCGTGGGGTGCCCGGGGCCACAGGACTCTGCGGGGCGGGTGACAGGCGGAGAAGAAGTGGAGAAAATTAGAGCTGCCTTTTTTGGGGTGGGGGGTGGATTCGCTTTCGCTCCAGCTCTCCCTTGAAGGTTTAACCTCCTTGCAGCCTTTACCTTCTAGGATGCGCGGGTCCTTGCAATTTACCAACTTTAATGGGCACATTAAGAAAACCATAAACTCGTTGGCAGTTCATGCAGAAGAAAGTTTCAATCGACTGAAACGCAGAAATAATGAATTTGCTTTTACTAGTGTGGGCTGAGAAGTCCGCTGGCTCCAAGAACTCCTGGAAAAACTGGCCGCATGGAAACTTACTGCTAGAAAGCGAACTAAAGAAAAAGCATAAGTTAAAAAGAAATGCAAACAGGAAATGATCCATCCTAACACATCAAGAAAGGTCTTTCATCTGCTTTTCTCTGATCTTGTTACTTTTAGGGATTTTCTTTTTTCATTGATTGTTACTAACGAAGGTTTGTTTGAAAAAGTCATGTGATTGTAGCCAATCAAAGGTATTGGGAAAAACAAAATATTATGTCTGGTTATGACAGGCTAGAAGCAGCGGTTTATGGGTACCCTTGACAGTTGCTATAACAAGCACCATCAGCTTCAATTTCCTCTTTTGTTGACTGGCCCTTGGGTTAAGGAACTCCCTGCCGCGGTTTCTGTCAATGGACACTGCCTGCTTCTAGTGTAGGGCAGTGTTTCAAGCAAAAGGAAAGTTCTCAAGCTACAGTTCTTCGAATCGGGTGGGGGACGTCAGGCATGACCTAACAGATGTGGCAACTTCCTGGAGATTAGCACCCAGCCGCCCTCACCCCATCAGTTTCTCATGCCCTGGGTGCTCCCTTGTGGTCCCCCTGGGGATCTGAGGTAGAAAAGGGAAGTAAAAGGCAAACAGGCCAGCTGAAAAGATGTTTGGTTAAAACTGAGGTTAGTGTTCAAAGGGAGTGTGTTGTTTTAAGCACAGAGTTTTGGAGCCGGAAGAGAGCTTGGAGATGCTGCAGCTCAAGTGACACAGGAGGGGGGTGGGTACAGGAGAAGAAACTGGGGTGGCAGGAGGTGAGGTGTCTAAGTCTCGACCTAGTCCTAGTCTGCTCTTCTGACTTCTGCTCCAGGATTCTTTTAACCCCGTCTCCCCCGGTTGGGGGGGTGGACCAATCACTCTCTCTGCCAAGACTCCTGGAACCTTTCCCAGTGGGACATCCCTGGGCAGGCAGGGCAGCAGAGCCTCGCCACCCGACCTCTCTTAACTCTCTCGCAACGCTACCACTGCTGCTCAAACACTCCCTTGAGAGGAATATTTCGCCTGGGTATTTTCTTGAGCTTGTGAAAAGTAATTGAACCTGGGTGTCTGCAATTCAGGAGATGCACAAGGAGACTCTAAAGAGACTCATTAAAGTTCTTTCTGATGGCTGAATCTGATCGCGTGGGTCTTCTCCTTAAAGACCTTTGGTTGCTTCTCATTTATGTCCCCTGGACTCTCACTTCAACCTCCTTTCCAGTGGCATCTCCTTCTAGGTTCCCCCCACCCAACTCAGTGCCTCTTGTCTATAATGAATGACAAATCCTCTTTTTCCTGCCTGGTGAACTCTTACATAACCTTAAAAGGCTCAAACTCAATGTAATCTCCACCTTGATGTCCCCTTTCACTGCTCCTTCCTGGGCTCTCTGCTTTCACCTGCTGCCATGCCCTGCGTAGACCTAAACTTCTGTTAACACTGCTAATCCCTTCAAACCATGCCTGTGTATACGCCTGCATCTCCCCCAGGCGGTGAGCACCTCCAGGGAATATCCTCTTTAGTTCATCTTTGACTTCGCAAAACTCTGTAATGGCTCAGCATAAATTAGGAGTTCAGTAATTGTTGATGAATACTAAAACCATCCCTAGGAAGGATATGAAGCTGATCACTAAAAACTGATGAGCTCCTGAAAACAGGTAGTGTTAGAATGGGAGGAGAAGTCGAAGGTGAAAAGTTGCATTTCAGTAGAGTGCAGGGATGATCTAAATCAGATATCCTCAAACTACGGCCCCCGGGCCACATGCAGGTGTTTTTGCCCATTTGTTATTTTACTTCAAAATAAGATATTTTGTGCAGTGTGCATAGGAATTTGTTCATAGTTTTTTTAGAACTATAGTCCAGCCTTCCAATGGTCTGAGGAACAGTGAACTGGCCCCCTGTTTAAAAAGTTTGAGGACACCTGATCTAAATAATTCATCACACTTCCCGGAACCTGCCTGGATTCCGGATGTCTGAAACTGCAAAAATGCCCATTTGCAAAAAGCTGTTTGATAAGGGCTTATTATTTTGAGATTAGTCAAGGGAAAGGCTATTCTAAATTAAAGGCTTACTTTTTAAAGTAATTAATGTATAGCTTTTTAAGCTGATAGTGCATAAGACTTCAGGATCTTAGTTAGTTCATGGGTGTCACACCCTTTGGTGTCCAAAGATGATACCAAAACTGTAAGATTTATTAGCTGCTCCAAACAGATTGGTTTGTAGAAGAGAGAGGTATGAGGCAGAAACAAGGAGGCTGTAACTGTTTTGGTGGCCAAACACTGGATTTGACAGAGAGGACTAGATTTTCTGGGCTGGTTGGAAGAATAAGAACTATATAATTGTTGGATGAACCTTGAGAAAGAGAGAAAGCATAGAAGAAAATCCTGGTTGCATAGTTGAAGTAGCACTTTCTGACACTGTAGTGTCTCATATCTCATTTCAGTGTCATGACTGCCATCTGCTACTTTTGGGGACAGTCCCAATTTCAAGTATTAATGATGATGGTAGCCAATACATAGTGTTCATTATGTGTTAGGCGCTGTTCTAAACACTGCACACACTAACTCATTTAATTCGTAGAGCAACCTTTTAAAGCAGGTACTATGATCTCTGTTTTACATGTGAGGCACAGAGAAGCTAAGCAACTTGCCCAAGATCACACAGCTAAGTAGTGGATCTAAGTAAGATTCTGCCTCCGTTCAGACTCTAACCATACACCATAGTACCTCTGGGTTTTCAGGCTCTACCAGGCTGAAAAACGATAGCTCTGGTACCTTTCCAGCTGTAGGTGCATTACATAACTCTTGGCTGGGGTTTAAGCTACTGCATGTTAATAACAGAGCCGCGTTTGTTTGCATTGGGTCGGAGACTGGCTGACAGGAAAAGGAATGAGGAGAGTTGGGTTAAACTTCGGGCTGCCGAGGAGGAAGGGAGAGGCTGAAAGAGGTTCACGGTGAGCAAACAAGGCAACCTTGGGATTAGCATAGTTAAAACCAGAAGCAGGAAAAGCAGGATGTTGGAGCCATGGGGTAGGAGGCTTCAGGGTGTGAGAACCAGGGAGAGAAAGAACAGCCTGATGTCAGGCAGTCGCTGTGGGAGAGCCCTGCTGAGAACTGACCTCCAAGGACCAAATTCTCTCAGGGACAAAAAACAAAAACAAAAACCAGGCAGAGAAGGGATGAGGTTTACAGTCCTTCTGTACCTAAAATTCTGAATCCCAGGAGAAGGAAGATGTTGGCTGGATGGGCTGTATGCTGTAAAGACACAATGCCGCCTGCAATTTGCCTGCCTGGTATGGTTTGCACCATCCTCGAGTGTTGGCAAAGGTGTAGCGTCACAGGGACTCTGTGCCACCAAGGGGGAGGGCCGATGAGTCAAATTGCCTTGTCTGTCATGCTGGTTAAACCATCCATTGGGCTTTTAAATTTGGTTATCATACTTTGCATTTCTAGAAAAATCTATTCTTTTATACATACATAATGCCTTTGGGCTTTTTCCTTGTGTTATTTATTTAGTTCTCCTTTTATATCTTTATTTTAAACATATTATCTACTCAATAACTTTTATCCAAAGCTTATGTAGGCCTAATCTTGCTGCTTGTTTGTGTCTGTTGATGCCTATTCATGATGGAAATCTCGGGGCTGCCGAGGGCAGAAGCCGGCCCACAGAGGATGGCTCACCTTCCTTGATATAACCCCAAACTTTCTGGTCCCATCACCAAACTACTGTAAAGCGCTCTACAACCGCAGTCCTGTCACCACAAACTAGGGTTTGGAAGAAAGAGAGACAAGAACGTGCTAGGCTTGAGGGAGCCCACGAGGGAGCCCAGCCTTGGGATGGGAAGAGGGTGGCATCAGAGGTCAGCCTCCAAGAGTTGCAGGAGGGGGAGCCAAAGCCTCAGTCAAGGTGTAAGCTGGAAAACCAGAGCCAGCAGTGAAGCCAGGACGCCAGAAGTAGGTTACCAAGGAGACTGAACTGATGGCTGGTGAGAAAGGAGACAGGAGTAGACCAATCCCAGTTGAAACTCAGAGGCGGGCCCACGTTCCACAGTGTCCGGATGATGGCAAGATCGTCATTGCAGCAACTTTTTTTGTTTCTTTTACTATGGCCTGGTGTTTTAGGTTTCACTCTTTACTCACTGGATGTACAAGAACTCCCTAAAAACACTCTATAGCTTCTTACATGCCTGGGCCCAAACCTATGTTCTAGGAAATCCCCATTAGTATTATAGATATGGCTCCGGATTCCCATTCCTTTCCTCCACAATCTTTTTTTTTTTTTTTTTTTAAATATTATCTGGGCCCTGGGGATTTCCTTGCTTTCTTGAGATTTCTTTATGCATTTAAAAGGTTGCCTTTTGTATTTTATCCAGTATTTCTAGGTGTCGCATATTGGGAGAATTTTCAGGCTGCCAAGAATATCAGATTACTGGAAAAGGAAATTTTTCTGTATAAACTAAAGATATTCCTACTCTACAATCCTGACAATTTACTCCTAAATCACTCGCAAATGTGCCACGAAGAGATAAGGCTAAGAATGTTGATTATAGCATTGTTTGTAAAAATGAAAAAAAAAATGGAAGCAACTTTAATGTCCATTAACAGAAGAAGGAAAAAATGGAACTTGGTCTAGTCATACAATGA